AATAGCAGCAGTACGACCCGTCCATCGAAAGTACTTGTGGCGGTTTGTGAACATATCTATTCCCATTAGTATTTCCCATACTGCCAAGTCTATCGTCGTAACCATTGCATGCGGCGGCAGAATGATATGGTGTGATTGAAGAACGCACTATTATATTTGACCAACGCGGGGTCCATCGCGAGTGCTATCTCCAGTCAGCCCAGTCAACAATCCGCAGCAGAGTAATACAAACAGTGATTATGTCCCGCCATCGTGAATAAAGTTTGCGAATATCAAAGCACTTGTGCTGTTATTTATCCCTTTTGATCATAAATATCAAGCATATGAATTGAGGTTCACGATGTTGAGCTAGGACTGACCGGAAAAATGGTTTTCCCGATCGGATCCGTGCTGATGCTTGCTTGTGGACAAGGAATGACGAATGGTGTGTTTATTCTCCAGTTTTATCATAGATTGGACCGAGGTGGGCTAAGGTGAGCTAGTTACCTACCTATGTAGTTAAAACGAGGGCGTCTGAGTTTAGGTTTTGGTATTAATCTTGATTGTGTTTTAAAAATATCTTCTATAGTTCTATCATATCTCTACCAATCATCAATTATAGTTACAATCACAATCATAATAGACCGAATTAACCATGGCCTCCAAGACCCCCTCATCAGATCAACCAAAAATCAAACTCTACTGGTAGAAAACCTCCCCCTCCCTCCCCCCCCCCCCCTTCCCTCTTCATCCATCTATCCACATCCACACCCATCCAACCTCCCCCATCCCAATTCCAATTCCAATATCACTAACTCCCTACCCGAAGGCTCAACCAATCCCGCTCCCAACGCATCCTCTGGCTCCTAGAAGAATTAAAAGTAGACTACGAACTAGAAATTATCCACAGACTCCCCTCCAAACATGCACCTCCCGAATTGAAAAAAGTTCATGCGTTGGGAAAATCTCCTGTTCTTACTATTCTTCCTCCAGGAGCTACGGAACCAGTGGTTTTGGCTGAGAGTGCTTTTATTATGGAGTAAGTTTTTTTCTGGGATTTCTTATTTGGGAATGCTGTGTTGGGATTTGAGGAGGGCGCTTTGAGGTGTATGAATTTAGAGATGGAATGGAAGATGGAGGGTTCAGGTAGTTCTTGGATCGTTATATGATAGCTTATAAATAGGAGGATGTTAGATGTCATCACTTCGCTTTCCTTAATTACTCAAAGAAATCGATCTATAACTCATACTAACACATCCGAGATATCTCCTCGACCACTTCGCCCACGAAAGCACTCTCCTTCCCACGCGCTGGAAAGCCGGTCAGGAAAACACTCTCTGCGGCGAAACAGAGGAATGGACTCGTTTCCGCTATTACATGCATTATGCCGAAGGATCCCTGATGCCCTACCTCATCGTCGCACTTATCATGTCCAGTAAGTTCCCTTCCCCTCCCCTCTTCCCCCGTTCGTCCCCTCTCCCTCATTATCCCACACAACTCAAACAACACTAACAACCCAGTGATCGATTCCCCCAACCTCCCCTTCTTCATCCGTCCCATCACCGGCATGATAACCGGAAAAGTCCGCTCCACATTCCTCGAACCAAATTTCAACACCCATTTCACATTTCTCAATGAACAAATCCAGACTTCCCCATCCGGTGGAAAATATCTCTGTGGTGAGCATCTTACCGGTGCAGATATACTTATGTCATTTCCACTTGTAGCTGCTAAACAGCGTGCTGGATTGACGAAGGAGAAATACCCGGAATTGTTTGCGTATGTTGAGAGATTGGAAAATGAAGATGGGTATAAGAGAGCTGTGGAGAAGATTGTGGAGATTGAGGGGGAATTTCAGGCGATTCAGTGAAGGGGGTAGAAGGACGTTGAGGCTGCGCGGGTCTACGTCGAGCTTGAAATGAAGTGGGAAGACAATGGGTATTGGCATTCGTAACTTTACACACCCTTCGTTTTAGCCGTTGTATAATCATGTATTTCGTTAATGTATTATCACATGAACGCAATTAAGTCTTCCTTAATCCACTCCCATATCCAATTTTATACCTCTACTAAGACTTCTATAACCTCGCCTTAAAAGGCCCATAAGGATCAATACTAAGTACAACACTCAAATACCGTATCTTAATAACCTCACGTACATCGCCAGTAGGTTCTTTGATACATCAAAATAATGAGAGAATAATCGAGATGCACTGACCAATTAAGCACTTGGGAACGTAGATGTCATTTATGAATATGTGATGGAAAGCACCGGGAGCTGAGTAACACTCATACCGATTGATCACAAATCAGAGAATAAACATGTTTGCAGATGTGCAAAAAAATGAAATGACCTTGAGAATACTCATTCGGAGACGTAAGAATGCTTTGGGACGTGGAAAGTATCATTAGGCTATTAGTTTGAGGTTTGGTTGATAACTTGATATTGGTATTCACTACCTAGGTATGGATGTAACTTCTAGTCTTAGAGTATTAAGTCAATACCTGGGAAGTAGAAAGTAGCTGTTTTGGAGACATCTGGCGGAAATGGTTAGCATCCGAAAATAGAATTTTTCTCGAGACCTTCGTTAGATGATAGCCTCTTTACTTATTGTATTAGATTGATAGATATTCACCGCCTATAGCTGACTGGAGGTCGCCTGGTTATCAGGCAATAGGGCTAGGAAAATATACTATATATTTATGCAGATACAACAAGGAAACAGAAATATTAATGACTGATCATACACGAACCCACAATACTTAGCACATGACAATGGTTAATTCCAGGTAATGACTTCATTCGTGTTATTTATTGAGTTTGAAGCCACAGACTATTGGATGAACTGTTGTTGAACGGCTGTTTTGAAGTGAGAAGATCTTTTTGTAGATGTATAATAATACGGGAGATGAACCCAGTGGATTTTGTATGAAGAGTGCGAGAGGGAAAAAATGGGACGTATATCTATCGAATGGAACTCTTGTGATTCTGGTCTTGAGGTAGTATGCGGCATGCAACAAACAAAGTTCGGAATAGCTGGCGCAGAACAGTATCCAGGATACTCTTCCTGATCGTGACTGCTCAAAATCACCCCTTCTGATGGATGACTTTTGGATAATTAGAGTGTCTGTAATATTGTGGAAGACTTATCTTCACAAAATATCTGAATGTCACAACCGCATACGCATAGCATTTGAACAAATATCTTCCTATCCAACCATACGCCTTACGCCTTACACCTTAATTTACCAAACCTCATGGGTTGTGTTATCATTGCCTTGTTTATCCCATTTCGGCGAATCACTTGATATCTCGAGGACTCATACCACCTACCTATCCAATGACACATCACACATTGTTTGTTGCACATCACATATATGAGTCATGATAGAGAAATAAAGACCGACTAAATGACATATGATAGAACGTTTCAACAACAATAATTCTAACAATGCAACGCTTAACGAAGAAAATAGAATATAGATATTATAACAAAGATATAACGCGATCAAGCTTTGTGATGTCGCTGGCTTGGTATTGCATATTCCATAGCTCAGCCAAGTCGTCTAGATGTCCCTGGGAAACCGTAACCGTGATCCAAACGTGCGAGGGAGAAGAATCTCCTATTCCTTCCCTTTCCACATCGAATTCAGCTTACACTTTTCATCAGAGGAACTTTCGTTCCGACAGGCAAGCAACAAATCTTTGTGTAAAAATAACCTGCGAAGTCCATTCGTCGCTAACCGGCTTCCAAAAATCAGGATTTTTTGCTCTTGGAGACATGAAACAAAGAGTCTCTTTATTCTTGATTGAACAGGTGGGAAACATGTTTCAGATTTGAGATGTGCAACAAATTTGAGTTTGCGTCCTTTTCTTTGTCTAAATGGAGGGCTTGAGGAGAAATTTGAGTATAGTAGATTCTGGGAATTTTTTTTTAGCGAAAGGTATTCGTCCTAAGTCCTTCCGTCGCACGTTTAAACATGCAAGCTAAATGAAGGAAAAGCGAAGTTCTTTGTTAAAAATCCCGTGACTTTCCCTCCAAAAAGAACCATGGTTGGTGGGTTGCAGTTACGCAGACAAAGGACTAGAAGTTTAGAAAGTTTTGTTGCACGTCTGAAATGAGCGCGACTTTTATGAACTTGCAGATACTATGGATGGCCTTTAGGTCGTTCTGCCGTATGCCAACCACTCGCCAAGATCTGAGGTTCAGGGAAAGAAACTTCTTGCTAGACAGTAAACAGCTTTTTACTTGAACGCTTGAAAGAAACTTCTCTTTTGTCAAAATTCCCCGTATTGAATGTTTTTGCATATGTCCATCTGCCTTCATCCGCGTTGCTCTTAGCAATGGGCATGCTATCACGACGTAGATCGTCATCAAGGAAATAAGAAGATAGATACCCCCCCCCCCCCCCCCCCCGGGAAAATTTATTACTTCAAAATCGACAATTGATAAATGAATATCTGACATTCTTTGATTCCGAACCTAGAAAGCAATGGAGGATATCTCTAGAGTATACTTATGAATCATGGAGATGGGGTTTGCTCCTTCTCCGTAGCGTTGAACATAGAATCTAGGACCACCAGCCCCGCGGAATCCCAAGTGATGGAGATAATTTCTAGGTTGTGTGAGTGTATGTTTTTGTGAAACATGTCTTGTGTCTAGGTACTGTTAGTTGGCGTGTAGAATTTTAATTTTCATAACATTGCATATATATGTAGACGCGTGCTGGGAGGAAAAAGGAAAGACTTCAGGTCCTTCAGGCCCCGCTAAAGTTCGAAGAGACTGGAGTAAGAGTATAGGCTCTTTGGCTTTAACGTGTTAGCCTTAATTTATTGAATCGTGATGTTTAATGGTCATTGACTTTTAGATGAGGTCAGAGTAGTCAAGAAGTTTCTCTCGGGAGTTCCTCGGCTAAATATTTGAGGATCAGCAAGGAACAACAAACAAAGCGCAGGTTTTGCTCTTTCGTAGCCCCAATATATATATGCATATGCAGCAATGCACGGTATCAAATAATCTGGCACTTTGGCGGAGTGGTTAACGCGATGCCCTGCTATTGTGTAAAACAAAGTTAGGCATTTCCTTCGGGAGCGAGTGTTCGAATCACTCAGGTGTCGTCTTTCTTTTTTGTCTTTTCTTAAACCAAAAACGGGAATCTAATTCTCAGACTGTTGATGCAGCCCATATTTTGCAGTTTTGGAGGAGGGCCTTTTTTGGACAGGGTGTTTTGGCACCCTTCACCATATCATTTTGGTCACAAACATTGCTGAACTATTTCGTTGTTTTCATCGTGATGCGCCAGACCTTTTTTTCCCCCCTAAGTAGAAATTATTACTCAAGACAATAATATGGCTTGAAGTATTGCTTTGTAGCACCCATTTGTTACTGGCGTGCCTTAAAGGGTATCCTGTGGGTACTCGAGGGTACTAACTAGGTATATACAGTTATTTGTGCTACACCGGTGAAACGTTGTGGCTGTAATGCTTCAATTTTTCAGGAAGCAGTAAGGAGTTCATAATGATATAAATCAGTTTTCCATTTCAGCTATTTCATAGTGCCTGGGCAAACGGATTATCTACTTCGTTTCATGATGTCCTCCTTGAACATGTCCAGGTTCCAATCTAGTCGTCTTCATGTTGAGTAATTAAGCAAAGGGAAAACAATGCCGAGTTGTGGTGAATGAAAGCGGATTAGGCCTTAATTTTCTTGTATGATGAGTGATTCCTGTATCATGATCGAATGTGACTTCTGAATATCCGGCGTGGAGTGAGATATTGAGTTGCGCGGCGCAGTCAATCATATTTATCGAAGCAGGCGAAGAGCGGACTGGTCGAACATGCAAATAGTCGGGATAGATAAGGGGAGCAGAGGGGCATACCGGATGCACCCACAGAAAACCAATTATCAATACAAGAGGGGACTAATTCAAGGGATAGGATCACAGAGATGTGGCGACCCTGTGGTGCTGGGAAGAGAAGGCCATATTTTGAGATCAAGGCTACCCTAAATATCCAGGTAATGCTCGGAAATCTCTTCCAAGAATTGCACTTACAACAGAGACTAGATAGATAGCACCAATCTTTGGTAATGGCAGTCAGCGGTATATCCATAACAAAATACCAATCAAAATATCGTATACAAGGCTTTAACCAACCTTGCTTGACGTTGATTTGTCTCTTCGGGTGACTTGTTCTTCCACCAAATAGACAATCACAATATCTGGAAAGAGTGCTGGCGAGCATGAGGGTGTTGCCAGTACGACAAAAAGATTCGTTTTGATATTTGTAGGATGTTCTGAGAAAGGATATTGCAAAAGGTGACGCGGACTGAACCTACATCACACAAACTGACGCTGCTACTTTGCCCAGTGAGTAACCTGAGCCACAGACTAGGTCAGTTAACAGAATGAAAATGCAGCGTTAACTTTAGATATGTCTCTCGACGATACTGAAGTCAGCTTCGAAGAGATTTACAGAACTGGTAAAGTTGCCCCTTTGCTAATTCTTCCGATTCCTCAGATTCCCAAATTGTGCTCCAACATGTGGTTGTGGCGCAATGTTATGAGTGGCGCACTAATGTGTTAATGCCCCAATATTAAGGTTAAATACATTACTAGCGTCGGCCAGGTTTATGAGAGCCAAATCCATCCACGTATCTATGAACTTTCAATATCAGATTCAACTATTTGATTTACATCAACAACGACCTGCGAGAATACCTGAACTCCAATTTCGATAATTTAATTTAATATCAAACAATATGTGGCTCCTCGATTGGTGTATGTAGCGCTCTTGGAAAGAATTGGAGATGAAGTGGTTCACAATATGACAGCTTGCTGATATTATTTCCTCAAATAGTTTGGGATACTCTTGCGTCCTTGGGACTCTTGAACAAGCATGCAAAACTTCTGTTCCTCGGTCTTGATAATGCCGGAAAGACAACACTGTTACATATGTTGAAGGTGCGTTGAAGAAGTTAGCTTAGGAGGATCCTGGATTTAAGACGAACGACAACTTGCTTCTCGCATTCAGGGATAAGAGACAATTGCTGATAAAAATTTCTTCCAGAACGACCGAGTTGCCATTCTTCAACCTACTCTTCACCCTAGTAAGGAACTCTAAGTCACGCACATCGGCGCAAAGTACACGTAGTCATCAGTCACTGACCATGCGACAGCATCTGAGGAACTTGCTATCGGCAATGTCAAGTTTACAACTTTCGATTTGGGAGGACATCAACAGGGTATTTGTTCTTGCAGTGCTGAAATGGTGAATATCAAGCTAATGCGTATGTAGCTCGTCGTCTCTGGAAGGATTACTTCCCAGAAGTCTCCGGTATCGTTTTCTTAGTCGATTCCAAAGATCATGAACGTTTTGTCGAATCGAAAGCCGAGCTCGATGCCCTCTTGTCAATGGAGGACCTTTCTAAAGTACCTTTCCTTATCCTCGGAAACAAGATCGATCACCCAGATGCTATCAGCGAGGATCAATTAAGACACGAATTGGGATTATATCAAACTACTGGAAAGGGCAAGGTTCCTCTTGAGGGTATCAGACCTATTGAGGTATTCATGTGCTCTGTGGTTATGAGACAAGGTGCGTCCTTTGTTGTGCGAAAGTTACCACGGCCTAAACTAATTCTGGATATAGGTTACGGTGAAGGTATTAGATGGTTATCGCAATATGTCTAAACAATGGAGGTGAAGTGACAGGGAAGGAGGTATATGGGATGATGGGGACGATTTCTTATGGAGATCTGTTATGATGGACGGAGTTACACAAAGGTCGTTTTTTCAATGCTTTTTTGGTAGGTTCTGGGAGCCCATGAGAGTTTCACTTCAGGAGCCACACCGGCCAACATGTTTGTACCAGCATAGTATCGCGATCAAGACTTTTATCTCTCTCAACACAAATATCACGAGTCCCGTGCATCTGAACTTTGTGAATATGCTACCAATAGATATTAAAGTCCTGGAAGAACTGAGACATTTAGTGATCAGGCCATGGCATCATATGATTTTGTTCATGTCTCAGTGGTGCTGGAGTTGCTCCATAAGTAATTTTCAAGGCTTGTAACTTCCCATGGCTACCTAAAATACAAACTTTTCGGGTATTTGTAGTAATTTAGAAGCTAGAATGCAAGTCTTACTTATCCATGGGTGCTAAGGAAACTAGCATATCTACGTCATAAACTATTTTTGGATGCGAAGCTCACCCAACATAATTGAACATATTCTCCCCACACTTTTCCATAATACTGTAGCCATATTTCATTCGCATATGAGATACGAAAAACCCCATTCTTAATGCACATATATGCAGGAAGATACATAGAGTTCCTGTCTTCTCCTGAAAACACAGCCAATTATTCGACAACAACTCAAAGATGGCGGATCTCCGCCACAAAACAGATGGTCCATCACCACTTTCCGCAGAAGGCTACGATGAATCGCTCCTTCCCGATTTCCACCGTGAATTCATTTCTGAAGAACACCTCCAAGAATTTGCCAACGCGCTGAGCGCACCAGATCCAAGTCCTAGTTCAGACGATTTGTCAATATATTCGCAAGCTCAGAGTTCCAGAGAACCATCTACACCACATCGCAGCAGTATAGATATACGGAGAAATAGCAAAGTTACACTTGGGAGTGGATCAAATACACCGGGGGATAGGGGAAGTTTGTTCATTACTGCCCAGAATGATTGGGCTCCGGTAAATCCTACGAGGTTAGGCGGGAAGGGAAAAAGGAAAGGAGAGAGGCGGAAGGCGGGTAGAAAATCGAGAAGAAGTAAAGATGAGACGAGAGAAGGGTATCTCTATTCAATTTTGAAATGGCCATTACTGGGGGTGGTTTTTATGTGGATTGGGGGGTTAGGATTGTCATATTTGGTGACGAGATTGTATGTTTGGACATATGAGCATTTCATCGCGGTAGGTGGGTTTCTGGCTCGAGTGCTTATGCGGAGATGGAGGAATGCTGTGGGATGGCGGCATGTCATCTCGAGGTTCCGGGACTTTCTTTCCAAATTCATGTACTAATTATCCGGTTTTACAGTGGAGGGGCAAACGAAATCAATTGCGAAAACGACTGCACGGTACCACGAACTACGGCGATTGGGTCAAAGAAGCACAAGAACTGGATACATATCTAGGAAACGATAAGTGGAAGGCTGAGGATGAGTACGCATACTATGATTCCAAGACAGTACGAAGAGTTTTGGAACAGATTCGAAAGTGCAGACGGAGAATAGAACAAGAGGATGGAGCAGGAAAGTCATCTAACGGAAGTGCTGCGACAAAAGCAAAAGCAGTTGAGGATCTGAAAGCACTAATCGAGGCATGCGTAAAGAACAATTTTGTGGGAGTAGAAAATTCAAGATTATACTCCCAAACTTATTACGGAACGAAGAATTTGGTACAGAATTTCGTTGATGAAGGTAAATTGAAGTTCTACCCCCCTTCATCAAAAAATCAACTGACGAAACGATTTAGTCGAGAGAGGTGTTTCAATTCTGGCAAAATCAGATCTACTCCAAGATGAAGAAAAGCATACACTTTTCAAACGGATGCACACAAATTATGGTCGCACAGCACTTTGTCTTTCTGGCGGGGCATCGTTTGCTTATTACCATTTTGGAGTTATTAAAGCATTATTAGATGCGAACCTTTTGCCGGAAGTGATAACAGGAACTTCAGGGGGTGCTCTAGTAGCTGCTTTAGTCGCCACAAGAACCAACGATGAATTAAAGGCATTGCTCGTCCCTGCTCTAGCTGGTCGAATCAATGCCTGCTCGGAACCATTCACTACTTGGATACCTAGATGGTGGAAATCAGGAGCTAGATTCGATTCAGTAGAATGGGCTCGACGATGCAGTTGGTTTACCCGTGGTAGCATGACTTTTCGTGAAGCATACGAACGAACTGGCCGGATCCTTAATGTCTCATGCGTTCCTGCTGATCCTCACAGTCCTACCATATTGACCAATTATCTGACAAGTCCTGACTGTGTTATATGGTCAGCAGTTTTAGCTTCAGCAGCTGTTCCCGGCATTTTGAACCCCGTAGTTCTTATGATGAAGCAACGAGATGGTACTCTTGCACCATACTCATTTGGTCA